TGAAGGAGTGCACAGTGGAAATGTGCGCCGCTCGCAGTGTGCGTCGACGCTGCGATCTGCTCAACGGTAAGCCTATTCCCACAGTTCATCGCCGACGGACGAACGACTCTAAAAGAAATCGCCGAAGTTCTGGCTATGTACTGGACATCAGTAGGTCATGAATTTCATTCCGCGATAGCATTGATAAAAGGTGCCGTTTCAAAGGGAAGATTGACGGAGGCTCCGTGATCGAATTTGGCTACGCATTCTTAAGCCTGGTTCAGACAGTTGCGTTTGACTGCGTTGCGGCAGCGAGAAACCAGGACATCCCTGCTACTTATATCACGTGCTAAGATGATTCTTTGAATTGGATTGCACGCTTCACACGAAGCACAGATGTGCCGGTGACTCGCTTTCGCTTCTCGACGCAACGCAGTCAAACGCAAGTGTCTGAACCGGCCTTTACCCCTTTACTAGTAGCCTCTGTACCCCGCAGAAAAGCGCGCTTGATGAGGCAGCTGCGGCTTGGTTTAATTTGGAATAAAATGATTGGACATGTTTTCATTTTCAATATTTCTTTCCAGGAGCATGGTTGCGCTATAAGCACGCGGAATTCTGCAGCTCTAGCAAATCTAACCAAGATCATGCGCGGTGTTCACTCGAAAACGTAACACACAACTAAATTCGGTCCGAGCAGGTCATTTTTAGCGTACGCTATACTATTGCGTATTGCGTACGTAAGAGCCAGCAACGCTATACTAAAACTGTCTAATATCAGCGTCTTTGAAGCTGTACGAGAACGATAATAATGTAAGACATATGTCTGCGGCTCACCCAGGTTGAAGGTTGGACGGAATGCACAGTATTGACATTGGCGGGACATTTTAAAAGTGGTATGGCAGGTACTTGGGTTCTGTACGGCACGTGTTCAGGGAGACTCCAAATTACACTCAAATCGTGTAACCATAGAATTGCTCGAAGTTTTCGATCACTAGGCAGCTGAAAAAACACCGTCCCCATGATTCCTCGAGTACGGGCCGAGGCGATTTCGGGATTTAGCAAATTGTCTACTCGGTCGTAATGTTAACACTTTGAAATAATTAAGCTACATTGAAATCCTCGTGAAAACTAGCACAAATAATCTCAAACTTAATCTTGTCAAAGCTGATGTTTGGGATTATTTGTGCTAATATTTAGCTTGCAAAAAATAAGTCATTCAGAGTTTGCTAACAAAAAAATTGTTTTAACTTCTTTTAACTTTAATATATCGAAAACCGGCCGCCAAATACGTCTGTATATACGCCAGATAAGTCTGTATATACGCCATATCAGGCTGTATATATGCCAGATACGTCTGTATACACGCCAGATAAGTCTGTATTCGCGACTCCAGCAAAACGGACGCCGCCAAGCGGGAAAACCGGGAACCAGCCGGTCCAGGTCGCTCCGCGCCCCTCCGCGTCTCTGGTGGCTTTCTCGGAGACGTGTTGTCGGCGCGGTGGCGAACAATGTAATTTGACGAAGGTCCGAATATTTCTTAAGTTTGCCTGAGTGATCATTAGTGTGGTGAAGCCTCAGTAGATTGTTTTCTTCTATTACGTGTTTGAAAGCCCGTTTACTCCACAGCACACGGTCGCGTGGTTTCGATTTCTTGGGTGGGGAGGAATCACGGAAAAACTCTTTGATTTCTTGTCTGTCTCGAATCGCATTCAGAGTGACGACTGCTTGGTAACTGATACTGGAGGGAACATCAGTGTTGCAGTCAAGTGAATGGGAAGGTTCGATAGCTGCTTTTCTTGAGTTTGGTTGTGTTCGGTTAGCTTCAAGTTTGAGCCACCCACGCCGGTCGGTGCGTTGGCTATTCATCTTGGCTGCTTTTCGTCGAAAAAGCCTCTGGACCACACTGAAGAAGTTGGGATGATTTCGCAATTACTTGCTTCAGGAAAACTTGCTCGCTGCAAATGATGAATGAGGGAAATTATCTGTTTTCAAAAGGTGGGAGACAAATCTCGCAACGTTAGATGCTATCACGGCATTTTGACCTATCGCGCCTCCAATATTTATATTACGAGGACGTCGAAGCCAGCAGCAATATACGTCTACATTGGTCAGGTTGACAGGCCACAAAAAATACTAATTTTCTCCGTTCAGGATTCGAAGCAAAGTTCAATGCAGAGAGGTTCTGCGTGGATCTTCAATGAAGACTCTCTTCAGTTTGTCTCCGTGCTGCCGGCTATAGAACCATTTGGCTAAATTTAAGTAGTATGTCTCCGTCTGTCAAATATACTTTTATTCGGCAACTCACCTGATAGCTAGTCAACTAAGCTCATAATTCAACCCGAAGGATATACTAATATCGCTTTAGTGGGACTCCCATAGTACGTAATATAATACATAACCCGCTCGTCAAAATGACTTCTCGATTGCTACTAAAACCTGAATTGAAATACGAGTATCAGCTGCTTAGTGGGGCGCCGGCGGGTTAACATGGTCCTTGGCTCAAGAAGCGGTTGCTTAATTTTCGTAATTTTCCTGCAGCCTGTGTTGTTGGCCGAGCAGACAACTGGAGCTGTTTCGTAAACGCGGATACGCACAAAAGCTCGATTCCGCGGACAGACAAGTCGCATGGTCGAGGCATGCGAGTTAGCTGAAAAGTTACTCTCTGTGGAACAATTCTATAGTCATCGCCGCTTTGCTTAGATGATCAAAACTGATTAGAGTGTAAAACCGTCTCTCCGGAGCCCATAGTTTCGGTTTTGAACGAAACCTCCGAAACGAAAGTTTGACACGAAAAGAACAAAAAAACACCGGCAAAACAAAACTATGCTTTGCAAGTTTATCTGCACCGGCTACACTTCACCGTCTCAGTTCAAATACCTATAAAATTGGGCATTAAACAAAAGAAAATCCGTTAAATTGAACGCGCCACCTGTTCAGGCGGCCCGGCTATGATAGCCCGGCCGAGCCGCCGCGACCTGGACTCAGCCGCCATGTTTGTTTGGTGGTGGCGCCCCCTATAGGTCGCTGGAGTCGCGAATATACGCCATATCAGGCTGTATATACGCCAGATAAGTCTGTATATACGCCAGATAAGGCTGTATATGGGCCGTATATAATCATATAATGTTTGATATGGCCAGATATGGCCCAGATATGAGATTTCCATACGGGCTGTAGCAGCGAAACGGAGAATAAAGTCCCCTTGCCTGGCGCTCATTGCTCATTGCTCATTTTACGAGCTAACATGGAGAGCATACGGCGAGTTTGGCGCTACTTTTCTACGATTCAGTTAAGATATATGGTTCAGACATCTGCAACGGTTGCGTTCGCATGCAACCGTAACGACCGCAAAAACCACACCCCAACACCTGTGACTCATGGATTGCTTCGCGAAGCAATCCATTCTCTTGCATCGCTTGCCATGCTGTGTACGGCGAACACTATTAGCGGCGAGATCTTTCGGTGGCGCCCTCATTCTGCTACCTTTCTTGACGTCATTACCTTGTGAACAAGCTCGATGGTGTTCGTAATGGGCATCGTGGAAGCCTGAAATTATACCGCTCTCAAAGCAACGGTGCCGACACCGTCAAAATTGAAGTTCTGACATTCCTCTTATTTCCATCGATGAGACATCCTTTCCTGACGTCATAGTCAGTATTCCGCCAATTATGGTGGGCCGACCTTGGCCCACCACAGCGACGCTTTTGATCGCTGACGTCGCCAATAGTCCCGGAAACTTTGTCGTTACGGTCGGTTCGGTTACATGCGAACTTAACCAACGCAGAACTGTGAACCAGCGTTTACAGTGACACGCAGCACACATCCGGTGTTTTTCGCAAACATATTTTAATATCTGGATTTAGCTGCGACCAGGTATCCTTGTATTAACGCAAAACGTTATTTGACTAGTTTCTCTGGATTTAGTGAAGCTGCATTTCGTGAAGCCGTGGCCCGTGACGTCACGCGGCTTCAGTTTGCCCGCTAGATATAGCGGGACAATTGACGTCACGTGACCTCAACGCCAATTCAGTTTCCTTACTAAATTTTTGGGGGGAAATGACATCACATGACTTCGTGTCACGTGACCTATATTCAAATTCAATTTCCCCGCTAGTTTTAGCGGGAAACTTCACGTCACGCGAACTAGATATCGATACAGTTTACTTGCTAAATTTAAGGGGGGAAATTGACACGTGACCGGCCGTGGCCCATTATTTCCCATGCATACTCTGTATATACAGGCCGACCCGACGGGCAAACTCATTGGGACGGAGGGAAGGGGGGGGGGGGGGGGGGGGGGGGAGTCAATGGAGTGGAGAGGATTGGAGACACCTGGAGGTACAGCTCGAGAAGAAATGCCTGTAGGTCACTAGCGCTAAACCTAAAATGTTTTCCGCAGCAGCACAAATGCAGGGCAATTTGGCCTGCAATTTTTTTATATTTCTACATTCTGCTCCAAATATTTTAAAAATGTAAATTTGCACATGTCGTGACACTCTTACGCAGGTGGTATAGCATGAATCTTTACAGTATAAAACGCACAACTGCAAATGAAGTCGGCGCTGCCTGCAACTGGCCCATGCGCCGATTAACTATCGTTGCATCGCAACTACGTCGTGTTTTCTTTTTTGTTCAGTCGACATGTAAAATGAATTTTAAATCTTGGACGTGTAACGTAAAGCGTTGTTTTAAGGTCACATGAACGTACTGCCCACATGTGCTTTGCGCGCCGCAGCGTCGACAGACGATTGGTCCAGGAGTCCAGGAGCAGTAGATCTCTCACTCCGCTAGCAAATTTAAGGGCGAAAGATAGAGCGGACCGCGCCCATGCAGAAATCCGTAGGTGAAGGAGGAGGACGGTGATATTTCAACTGTATTTGCCGACAACGTCGTACACAGGCGAGACGCAAGGAACTCTTATTTTGTGTAAATGTTGAAATAACACGCAGCGAGTTTTTTTTTTTTTGGAACTTCAACGGCAAGAAGCAGAAACTCGATTTGCGCAAAGAGCAGTGCCCGCCATGTCCCAGCCCGAAGACGAGTTGCTCGTAGACGTCGCCAGTCCGATAACTGTAGAAGGACTAGACCTCTTGCACAGGTCCCTGCTGAAGTCTTCGAGTGAGGACCAGCAATTCCTTGACCTGGGCTGTGGAAAAGGGGACGTCACGCGGGAAACGCTTCTTCCCCGTTGTCTTCCCGTCGGTCGAATCGTTGCCGTCGACGTTTCCGAGGACAAGATCGAGACCGCCAAGAAGCACTTCGCCCATCCTAAGATTTGCTACGACGTTCTCGATGCCGTAGTGGATGACGTGTCCGCCTTCGTGACGAAGTACGGTCAGTTCGATCGAGTCTACGCCATCTTCCTTTTCAACTGGGTGAAGGACCAGGAGAAAGGATTCAAGAACGTCTTCGAACTGTTGAAGCCCGGTGGAGAATGTCTCTTCATGTTCTACGCTTCCAGTTTCCATCTTCAGTTTCGAAAGAAGTTGGCCAATACGGAACGTTGGAAGAAATATGCGGTGGTAAGCTTTGGTTGGTCAGTTCGTGGGTTGGTCGGTTAATTGTCCACATGAAATTGTTATAGATAACCTCCTTTTTTACATAAAGAGGAACTTAAAGTATTCCACAGCAGGTGATTAGTGCAGATCGGTATATTCTAGCATTAGTAGTACCGATTTAAATCATGTGTTTTTACGCAGTCGTCAAACACTTGTTTTTTTTTTATGGCCGACTGCGACACAACCGGATTTTAGGCCGCTTGTGAGTGCTTACGAGTCGCAAGTGCGGAAACCAGCCTTTATTATGACGGTTATATTATAGCAAACGTTTCATCAGAAAGTAACATTAACTGAAAGCAAATTGTTATCTATTAAGGCCCATTCGCACACTTGCACCTGGATGGATGGATGAATGCGGCTGAGCCCTTTAAATCGGGCGGTAGCTTATGCCACCTAGCCATTTTGTTTTACCATTTAAGCTTAGAATATTTAAATGTGAAACCTATATTTACTCCGCACTGCAAAGAAAGTGGGGCTATAAAACCCCCTTGCCATCAATTAATAAGAAAATACCTAGTTCTCCCTCGCTTTCTGCCACCATTCACTTAATCTTTGCTTGGTAATCTCTACAGTCTTGAAATCCACTCTCCCTTCGCTGTCTCTAAAACCCAATGACTTTATTAAATCCATGTTGTCTTCGGTAGGCATAGGGCGAAGCCCTTTACAGCAGATTATCAAGTGCTCAGCCGTCTCGTCCTCCTCTCCAGAAGCAGTGCACACTGTACCCTCTTAGATCCGACTGGCGCCATCTATTGGGTAGCAGTGTAAACTTGGCCGCTCGGCCTATTTTTTATTTCACTCGGGCATTATCCTTTCTTTCTTGGCTCAAAAAACTTTTGTCAACGTTATAACTTATAAATGAGCCCTTCTTATAGGTATTACGCACACCTTGACCTCGTAAATCCCGAAAAACTTTCGCTCTTGTGAAATGCAGTTCCAGGGTCACCGCGTAGATGGCGCCATCGTGCCAGTGTGTTCTCTCGTCCTAAGAAATTTTAAGAGGTTTCAGCAGTTCTCCCCTGTCTCAGTCGTACCCAGTTGTAAGTGTATGAATTGCCTTTACATAACTGTCAGGCACACATCAAGTAGTTGATTCCCCATTGCACTGCCCAATCATTTCTTATCGTTGTGACTGGTGTTTCAAGATTACGTATACGCTGATAATTTACCCAGTGCGTAGTTTTCTTTTTTTTTATCATTGACGCAATAGTACCTCGAAATAAGACAAATTTTCTTTTTCTCTGAGTGTGTTTTTCAGGCATTTACGTTGCACGTTTCGTTCCCAGATGTGCGAGAGTACAACTCCTCCAACGTTGGAGCTTGTTGGAAAAGAAGCACGCATCTCCTACATGACTGACCTGTTGAAAAGGGCCAATCTCACACCGTCTCTTTGCGATGTAATCCAAGAAAGATGCACGCATTATACCAGTAAGGACGTCCTAATCCGTAAGTCGATATTTGCTGTTTCAACACAAGACAGCGTGCCCCCCCCCTTCCCCTCCCCCACCCCCCCCCCCCCCCAAAAAAAAAGGAAAGAAGTGTATTTGACGTGTTTTCTTTTTTTATTCAGAAACTAAACTAAATATAGACGAACGCACTCTATCCGCCCAAATGTAACGCTAGAGGTTCGAACCAGACATCAAATTTTCCAAATCAACGGTTATCTCAATCAAAAGTTATAAGTAGGGCTCCGTGTTTTCAGATAAATCCGAAAAACTCCGAAAAACACCCGCCGGGGAAATTTTGGTCAATTCGGATTTAACCGATAAACTCCGAATGTTTATGTGCCAATGCCACCCCCCCCCCCCCCCCCGCCCCAAAGCAAAAAAAGATACTTTTTTTTTTTTTTTTTTTACAATTAGTTAAGCACGGAGTCAATGGTCCTGGGAAAATGGCACCATAATTATCTTTCAAATCTCAGACCGTTGTCAAAAGAGGTCTTGCCGCTTGTCTCGTCGAGGTTGATTCAGGGCAACAGGTCATTGTGCATTCGGGTCACGACAAAGGCCACTCTTTTGGTTTCCAGTTTAGGCCATGGGATTTAGAGAAAGGAGACGGTATGTTTCTGGGGGTAACAGTGAAAGCTGTGGACCATAGAGATTGTATTAAATAGAGAAAAGGGACAGTCGAAACTATCTACTACATCCTTAACCACTCCACCTCACGCGGCCGCGGGATAGATTGATGGGATGACTACGAGCTTCCCTGCGGCTACCTCTGGAAGTTTATTGATTTTAAGGTATCGACGTTTATCGAAGCTACACTTGTGTGCGACTTTTGTCGTGGTACAAATTAATAGTGCCAATTGCAATGGCACGAACGTCAAATTCAACTGAAGAAATTTTAATCTATACAAGCGCGTTTTATTTTTTATTTGGCATACGTTTACATCCGGTTATTATTTCCATATTTATTTTCAATAGGAAACACTGTGGAATTAAACTCCGAATTTCGGATATTTGGCAATCGAACAAATGTAAACTCCGATAAATTCCGAATCTTCGGCAAAAAATAAACTCCGAAAAACACCCTCCGATTTTAACGAAAAATAAACTCAGAAAACACGGAGCCCTAGTTATAAGTGATTTTCTCAAAATTTCAGTCGGAAAATGGGGCTTGTGTTTGGTAACTGGCGCCATTCAGCTCCAAGTAATCGAGAGCAAATCGTGCGTGGGCCGCCATTATACCATATAAATTTCCGAAAATCATGTATAGCTTTTCACTAAGATTACGGTTAGTTTTAAAACCTTGGTCAACAGGTTCCTACCGCTAGGCGATACATTTGGGCGGATAATGATGTTAGGTGTGGTTAGGTATTCAATGGTGTTTTAAACTTTCGATCGAATCAACTACGGTCGAAAAATTCAAAATAATACAGATCGTCGTTGCATCATTAGAGAGTGTGCTGATGGATCTTGATGGGATGTTGACGCAGCATGTTTAGGCGTACATCTCCAAATGTTATTTTATTTTCGCGTATACAGAAATTACATCCGTCTTGCTCTGCACAGGGCAGACAAGTTTTGGAAGCAAAAAGGAACAACACCTTGAACTGCATATACCTTGACTTCCATTTGATTTCGTTATGCAGGATTATTGCAGATAATTCAATAAAACTCGGCAGATGTTCGACGATTCCGAATAAAAAAATAAAAGCCGTTTACAACTCCCTGTAACACCGAATTAGAGCGCAGCTCTTGAGGAGGAGGAGGGAAGGGTACTCAGCGTCACCTGTTCTTGGGGTGGGGAGGGGGCGTCACCTGACCTCGGGGGGGGGGGGGGGGGGGGGGGGTCACGGGACCCCCCAGGAAAACTTTTCCTCTAGATTCAACGGGGAATTTTTTTTCGGCTACATTTAGCAAGGAATTTTTTCCGCTAGATTTAGCGGGGAAATTTTCCGCTGGATTTAGCGGGGAATGTTTTCCGCTAGATTTAGCGGGGAAATTTTCCGCTGGATTTAGCGGGAAAATTTTTCCGATAGATTTAGCGGGGAATTTTTTCGCTAGATTTAGCGGGGAATTTTTTTCCGCTAGATTTAGCAAGGAATTTTTTCCGCAAGATTTAGCGGGGAAATTTTCCGCTCAATTTAGCGGGGAATTTTTTCCGCTAGATTTAGCGGGGAAATTTTTGCGCTAGATTTAGCGAGGAATTTTTTCCGCTAGATTTAGCGGGGAAATTTTCCGATGGATTTAGCGGGGAATTTTTTCCGCTAGATTTATCGGGGAACTTTTTAAGCTAGATTTAGCGGGGAATTTTTTCCGTTAGATTTAGCAAGGAATTTTTTCCGCTAGATTTAGCGGGGAATTTTACCCCTGGATTTAGCGGGGAATTTTTTTCCGCTAGATTTAGCAAGGAATTTTTTCCGCTAGATTTAGCGGGGAAATTTTCCGCTGGATTTAGCGGGGAAGTTTTTCCGCTAGATTTAGCGGGGAAATTTACACATAATGCACCGCGCGGTTACGCCGACAGCGACGGCGACGCCGACGCCGACGGTGACGCCGCTCAAGCCGGAAACGGGCGCCTAAGAGCTGCGCTCTAAAAAAATAGGTGAAGAATATTGCACCTTTCAATACATTAACTTCGACGTGTAATCGTTGTCGTGTTATCTAAGACAAACGGTCATCGAGTCTCCTTCTCTCAAAGGTCACTTCGTCCTGCTCCAATTTTCAGAGGAAATTCTCGCCGTCAATCCGATCACGGCCGCAGTCACCGAGGAAGAAAAGCCGCACTTTCGGGAGGAGGTGATCAGGGAAGCGAACAGACTGTGGGCCGAACAAGAGGCCGGAGGACACCCACTCGACTACGACGTCTACGTTATCCGTGCATCGAAGGCCAGCGCGTGAGATGACTATACGCAGAGCAAGTCGTCTCCTTCTTTCGCGGGAATTGAAGTGACGTCAGAACGACGCCCAACACTGATTGGCTCATTAAAAAAAGTAGTGGGTAGACCTCAAAGCATCTAGCATTGAGATCTACCCACTATTTTTTTCAGTCGACCAATCAGAGCTCGGCGTTGTTTTGACGTCACCGCATCTCCTGCGCCAGTAGCAAACGACTTGCTTTCCGCATAGACCTTCGCACAAATCGACTTCTGCGCGCTGACATCTTTGTCTGCTGGGCTGTGGAACGCCTTCTGAGCATCCGCTGTCGATCTGCTGTGCGGTAGATCGGACGCTGCGCATGCGTCCACAGCTCAATGACTCAGCATTTTTTTCGCCCGGGTGGGATAAGCGATGAAGCTATCTTCGAATCGAAGAGTGCAGCGTCGGGGTCCGCATGCGCCGAGAGACAGAGGGAGAGGAGGAGAGGAGGGCGCGCGAAGACGTCAGAAAGTCCGCGAGCTCTGATTCGAATGGTTAGTGGGTAGGCCTAAAGCTATCTGCCAAATTTGACTCGCACTGCACTCGTCGGACGCGCTCGGACGCTAAACTCAAACGCCGGAGGCGCCGGCGTTCCGGGTTCCAAGGTGTTTCACGGATGCAGTGGAGTCAAAAGCAGTTAGCTTTAGGTCTACCCTTAGGTCTACCCACTAATCTGTCCAATCAGAGCTCGGCGTTCTGACGTTCCCACCCACTCGCGTCTTCCCCGCTCTCTCTCTCTCTCTCTCACTTTCTCGGTGCACAGCTTCAACACAGCGAAGAGAGCCGGGTTGTCGTGAGTTAATACTATAAAGGTTATGGATGACATAGCACTATTCTATTCGAACTATTAATCCCACATCCCCCTTCCAGCACTTACCATCGAGACAAGAAACAAAAAAGCGAAGGCACTAAGTTGTGGACTCATGTGCGCCACCAAACGTTCCATAGAAGAGAGCTGGCGCTCACGCTCAGAGCGTTTTTCACAGCCCACTAGACAAATGTGGCGGCGTGCTGGAGCAATGCTGTGTTGCCTGGAGCGAATAACACTTTGAAGACAAGGCATGTACGTGCTCGAGACTTGCGCATGCCGAAGTGTCGAGCGCCTTGCTATCGCTCCGCAACCAACAAAATCGGTTAGCACGGTGTTTTTCTTCTTTTTTTGATAAGGTGAAGGTAGAATGAAAGGTGGTGGCCATAAAAGCAATATTATAAAATGTGTCTGTTTATTTTCGTTCGCTTTCTTCTTTGTCCAATGTTCGCAACACTTTTGTCACGATATCTCGATACGCGTGCAGAAGTGTCTATATGTCGTTATGAAGGTTTGGGCAAATGAGGTCTTATGTGGCCATGTATATAGCTTGGCCATTTATGACCTCACAATCCCAATCCTTCATACTACCCCGTATTTTATTTTTGGTATGAGAAAAGCTGGGATGAAAAATGAGCAGGGAATTGCTTTTGAACCGATTCTTGACAATCTAAAAAAAAAGGCTCACTAAAAATTTATTTCGGTAACTTTTTATGGCGCTTGAAAAGAAGGCAAGGCTGTTTCATCAAAAACTAGGAGCACCACCTACACCATACTGGAAGGAGTAGCAGCGCTCGAGTCGGGAAGCAACCTTAACGCCGCAGGATAGGAAGTGATTAAGCACCTACTTCGGAAGCTACATTGTTCTTATGCCTGGGATGATGTCTTAGCGTTTTGATGGGGTAGTAGCGTCTACTTAAGAGGGGGGGGGGGGGGGGAAGGGGGGGAGGGGGTTTGCTTTTACTACTCTTCTAGGGAGTGATCCCCTAGGTAGCAGGCTAGAGAAACGCTCACCTTAGCTCAAACTTGGCAAAACTAGGCTCGCAACTTGGCTCTAATAGGGTTTCACTTCAAGGCGTTACTTAGTGCCAGAATAATTTTCTTTGGACCTTCTATGGCTTTTTTTCTAGCTTGCCACATAAATGCCGCAGTGTCAAAGTTGATCTACAAACCTGAAATCGAATTTCGGCACAAAGAACTGCGATATTTGGGATGGCACTTGTCTTTGGGAGGCTTGGTTTGCTTCACGGTAGTGGATTTCTTTTATGGAACTACTTTGGTCTTTCGCTGTAATATGGTGCTTCTTGAAGAGAAAGCAACTTTGCCATGTCCGTGGGACATTTTCTGCCTTTAGGGATAACGTATTTCGCTGCTTCGGTGCCCCGAAAATAAATAAATACCGCGACTCAACGTAACTCCCCTACGTAAACGACAATATTTTAAAGTTTTCTCCAGTAACGAAGGTGCGACAGAGATTTGCCTACGGCAACCTTAACTTAAACCTGAAAGACACGCTGGCATCGAAACTTAAAATAGATTTAAAAAGTATTCGTTTTGCATTCAGCACCCAAAAGCTGTGGTCAACACTGCGCATGCATGCATCATACAGACATGGTGTTCGTTGAAGACATCATGCAAGAATTATTTACGGGCACGTCTCAAGTAGGGGTGTCGCGAACTTTTGTCGAACCGGATTTTTAAGTCGAACTTTCGGGGTCGACTGGTCGAACCGGTTCGACGAACCTTTGAACTTTAAACCAGATTCGACCGGTTCGACTTTCTGGACAGCGTGGCCAGACCTTGATGGAAGCATGTCTAGGTTTGAGGACTTTTTTTTTACACAAAGGGTTGTTTTAACTTGATGAACAGTTGCAATTAAAATAAACTAATTCTGATCACTGAAAAAGTTATTTTTTTGCTTTGTACTAACTGAAATAACCAATCAGTGCTGCCCTTAATACATCTTTTAGCCATCACCATCCAATCGGAAGTCAACTCGCCAGCCTGCCGCGCATGTGCATAGCAGTCGAACCTGAGTCGAACCTTTGCAGAACTTTTGACAAGAAGTTAGAAAAAGTCGAACCTGGTCGAACTCGAACCTCGACCGGTTCGTGACACCCCTAGTCTCCAGCATGTTCGAAACTTGCTGACCTCAAAGTTATCAAGCCGACATAGATGGCGCCAGTGTGTTCTCTCGTCGAAAGATAGCTGTGGCCAGTGTGTGAACCAGCCTTTAGAGCATCGGCACTCTTCAACCCCGGCTTTATTATGGACGCCGCCATTTTGTTGGCTAGTGCAGTGCGGCCGCAATTTGAGACCGTTTGGATTCGAAAATGTGGCCTGCTCACCTTTGGATACGGTGTCGGGAAGCACACGCGATATCAATTTCGCTCTGTCTTCGCGGACTGCAGAAACATCTCTGGGGTTGGAAGAACCGTTTCCCGCGATGTTCAGATAATGATATTAGCCAACAATGATTTCAAGCACCGAGGTTGCCAAAATGTCGTTCCTCCGAAACGTGGCCCGCTTGGTGGCTCCACGTGAAGCGATCGATTTTGGGCCCACGAAGGACAATTTTTGATGGAGCAATGTCCGACATTAATACGGTGTCTAAGAGCGCTTTTGTTCAACAGCAACGTTACAGGCTGCGTGTCGAGTGTAGCCACATGACGTCACGGAGTGTCGTAGGTGTGTAATAATCTATTATTCGATGTAACAAAAACACAAAATATTTGTTCAGCAAGAGCAGTGGTTCACAAACGGGGGTCCGCAGACCCTTTGGGGTCCGTGAAGGCCTTCTAAGGGTCCGCGAGGCCCTGTCTCGTCAGTCAAGCCCGGCAATAAAAGTTGTCTTTTTCAAACTGAAAAGAAATGTTCCAATTTTCGGGTGACCTTTCTCGTGTGGATGTCAATGAGAGAAGTGTACTTCACTCTATCCCTTAGTTGCATTCATTTAATAAATCATTATCGTAATTAACTTGTACCTTTCTCTTCCATCCACAACGAACTAGGTTTTCCATCATCTCCGCCAGTTCACAAGGGGTCCGCGAAACATGAATGTTTGAGAACCACTTAGCTAGAGACTCACACTCAAGAACCGTTGATATTTCCGCTTTAAAATATTCGTCTTTTTGGTTGCATGCTGCTTTGTACGACTGAAATAACCTAACATCCGGTATCACTCAAACTAACTTCCAGTGTACAGATATAAACCGAGGGAGCGGACGCCACGAGCACTTGTGGAGACGTCAGAGCGCTATTCGCATAGCTTCCTGAACGAATTATGGCCATCAATATGGTCCGTGACACGCCTAGAGCCCAGCAGATGCACCGCCTCGAGCTCGTGCTTCCTGCCTCGGATACCACTTCGACGTGCGCACCGCACAGGTACAGGGAAAGTGCGACGAGGTCGTGCTGAAGACGGGGCCTCTATTGCGTTCTTAGCCTGTCAACCAAGATAGGTCAACCGAAGTCAGAATTGATTTGTATTTAATGGCATTGATACATCTCATGACGTGCCGAACCTCGCACTGTTTCAGAGTAGTCATACCGCTCGCGCACACACACGTACACATACCTACACACGCACAGGTATATAAAATGCTTTTAAGGTGTTCTTTCACGATATTTCGACTGAGCACTGAGCCCGTTCTGCAGGATAGTAAAACACATCCGGTGGTGAAGTGTTCGGAGCTTTCATTTCAAAACAAAATAACGTAGCTAGCGCAGGATTCGTCCATTAAATCACATAAAACAAAGTTTACATCGACACGCGCGTCGCAAAGTCTGCAGCACACCTGGATCGATGCTGAGTCGCGTGTTGCGTTTATGTGTGCCGCCGTCCTTTTTATTGTATTATTTGCATCACCATGACTAGTGCCACGATGATTCATTTTTGTTCACTTTTAGCGCTGCTTGACTGGCTATGTACCCCCCGGCCCTTCAGAGAAGTAGTTTCAAACTCATTCAAGTGTACGGTCAAGATTACCAACCGCCGAAAGTTCGAGGGTCGACTAGGGGGGAGGGGAAGTTATATCTGGTTCTTTTGGGACAAAGAAATAAACAAACACGCAGCAGTGGTGTGACGCGTTGCAAAGCAGCCGACTGTCCCTGCGACACCCCAGTGATTTGTAAGGGTGCCTCGTGCTTTCTGTGTTTTGTAAACTCAGCGTTTTGCCATCTTTCACGCTCATTTGCATGTAGAACTACTGTGGACTGGCCCTCGTGCTACAACTTTTAAAACGCCAACGTAGAGTGTCAGTTTCAATAGAACGAAGCAAGCACAACCCCCATAACCTATCGCACAATGGCTCAACTTCATACTGCAGGTTTTTCTTGCCGGATGATTTTTATAGCAGCATTATAAGAAAATGCCCGTATTTTAAAGGTATTTTCTGGCAGCCAGAAACCAAACCTCATATCTTTATCCTTGGCAGTTGCTATACTGCTGAGCGAGAGTTGGTGCAGCCGAGGTGCCTTACTGAAGAAAGAGCTCGCACTTGTAGCCTAGTAGTGGTATTGCCGTTATGGTTGATTTCCATAAGAAAGGGCTGAGAAACAAATAATTAGACCCAGAAATATTCAGCCCCCTTCCCCCTACCTTTAAAAGAACAAAACAAAACAAAAAAAAACACCAACAGAATAGTGCAATATGTATGAGCACGTTATATGAGAGTAAATGAATCAACGATAAAAAAACTACTATTTATGTCGCATGTAGCGCACGAGGCATTTAGCGCACGTCTTCACATGCGTCGTGCCGACAGCAACGCCATCCCAGTGAAATGACAGAGAAGTTGCGCGTTGTATTATACCCTTCCCAACCACTGGAACATGATCTGCGGTTACCGATCATGTGGCTGGAGTTCAATTGGTGCGGCCAGTGCGCTTACGTTTTATACACACGGCGTATTTCTACAAGTCGCGGTGGTGGCACGAACACGAGATTTCGCGCAATCAACAACTTCACACATCGAATTTCGTGCCCGAGAATTGTAGCGTACTGACTCGCGAGAACTTCTCCGATCCTTGACATCTGCATCGGGAACGACGAGCGTTTCGCAGCAAAAGATAAGAGGAACACACACTGTGAAGAGACAGTTCGCTCTATTAATATTATTCGATAAACTTCCTCGGATTTGACTCACTCGGATTACTAGGCGTGCCTAACCGGGGAAATACCGCGAACGTCAAAGACCTGGCGGATCATCTCGAAGTATTTCGGAAATGTTTGAACCGCTAAAAGATCAGTTATTCCCGGCCAAACTGGCAGGGGCTTCTGAAGGAAGAAGACCCTATCTGCAAGGCCTGCAGAGAAATATAAGGTGGCAGGTATCAAGCACTTACTGTGGGTCTGCAAATGCCTGGAAGACCACAGAAAAACGGCGTGGGAAAAATTACCCGCTCAGGACCAACCAAGGAGGCTTAGCGACTGGACTCACCCCAGAGGCCAGGAGCAGCACCGAAAGGCGATCCTAGACTCCCTGGTTCAATTCATCAGGGAATATGGGGATCATAAATTCATCTAATATCACCATAGTCATCCACACCCGTCGATCCTGAAGGTCCCATCTTCAGGATCGACGGGCGCCTGACGTCGGAAGTTTACTCGGGCACAATTGACCACGTCTTTGTCCCCTACGTCCTAGATGGGCCCTTTCCGGATGGGGACTTTTGGTTTCAACACGACTTGAGTCCCATCCACACCTCCCGTTCCACCAAGCCGCTTCTTGCTGAACGGGGCATAGGGGAGCTGCCATGGCCTCCCAAAGGCGCTAACGTCACTATCGTCGAAAACGTCTGGGGCATCATAAGGTCGAAACTGGCCACTCAAGCGCTTCACAGCGCATCTCCAAACGAACTCTGGGAAGCCGTCCACCGAGAGTGGGACAACCTGCGCAACAACGACGACCTGGTGCTCCAGCTCTACGGAAGTCTGCCGCACAGGATTCAATCTTTAATTCACGGAGAGGGAAACTTCTTAAGATACTAAGGCCCCGCTCAAATCCGACAAAGACTGTCGGACGTCAAACCGAAACTGTCAAGAATGAAAAAAAGGGGGACGTGGTTCCTGCCTTATGTTTTGCCTAACCGAAAGTCCGAATCCCATTAAAGGAATGGTAGAAATTGCGAGCTGCCCTATGTTTAATGGCGTTCGCGATCGACGTGTGCTAGTGTGACATAAGCACACGTGCTTTAAAATGAATAAAAGAATCATCGCGCCATGATAGCCCTCAGTATGCAGTAACGTGTATCCTATATCGCAAACCATATATAATGAATTGGGGGGGGGGGGGAGGGGGGGGGCGGGTTTGCATGCGCGTTTCAACAGAGCCCTACCTTCTAACAAATTATTTTGGCGTGCACTGCAAAGTGTTAAGCATCGAAAAAAGATTAATAATGATGTCCTCTTTGTAACGTGGCTAACATAAAATCGTCGCAAGTGCGACGCGGTTGCTGACACATAACACGAATGAAACAAAATCGTGTTTTTCTTTTCAAAAAACGGAAAGTATAAGTTAATTTTTGATTTGTTCCGTAGCCTTCCGGTTTAGCACATATCACAACAAAAAACCACTAAATCACATTGTCTACCGATAGCGTCTGAAAGGCTCCTTCTCCAATCCTTGCGCTTTAAGACGCGTTCCCACCGGCGATGCGATCTAGTCGCGCGATAACTTTCATCGCAAAAGCAACCATCGCGGGCAAAAAGCGACGCGATTTGAGCAGTCGCTACTCGACCCGACTTTTTTGCGTTGCGATCTAGTCGCGGAGCGGCTGAGCCAATCAACGGCGTTCGGAGCGAGAATTTTCGAGAAACGACTCGCCAACGAAGGCGTTGGACTCGCTCATCGCGCACGCCGGTGTTACCATCTAATTTTTTTGCGATGCGATCTAGTCGCATCGCGCGACTGCTTACATCGCCGGTGGGAATGCGCCTTTACTCTATCTCGGTGAAGCGCGAGATAAGAAAACGAGCCGCCACGGCAGCCGCGTCATGGCGCTGATAGCACGGACCGGTCGACGGTCCGGCGTTCACCTTCATATCGCCTGCGGGTGTACATGACTTAAGCCAATCAAGGGACTCTCTGATCTTGTTCTTTCTTCTCTGATCGTCTTTAACACAAAATTTTATCTGTATTGTGCTTTTTATGGTTTCTTCCCAAATCCTCGCTCATGTAATACGCCCGAAAGGATGTCTTTGACCAACAATAAATTAAATGAAATGAGATGAAATGAAATAATGTTAGATGAGTGCGCGGATTGGGGATCGGATGTGGCTCCGAATTTTGCGGATGCGGTACGAATGCAAAGTTCTCCGGATACGAATCGGATGCGGATGATCAAACTATTATCCGCGCAGGGCTCTAAACTTCAGTCTACTTTTTCGAAACGGCGTTCAGGCCGCTGATAGCCACACTTCGGGGCTCTGGATGCTTTGGTAAATGTCCCTGTCGGGGCTCTAAATGCACTCGGGTCAGCGGAAAGGCCCGCGGCGACGACCCGCCGCATGAAAGACGCATCTTTGCCCATGTTACCAAAAACAAAGTTCGGCCCCTACAGACAACAAGGCGGAATGCCAGACCGGGCAGTATAGCAATAAATTTTAAAAAAGAAAGACTAAAACGAAACGCCGTTTTGGTGGTGCCAGACAACTCCGACCACATGTGCGAACAGAATCGTAGTTCAATCACTCCTGCTACAACAGGCCACTATATGTGCGTAAAAAGTCTTTAAACAAAAACCTTTACGCAAGCAGTACAGTACAAATTTATTATATATCGTCCGTTTCTAGAACGGAAATCCGTTAGATGGAACGTGCTCCAAATACGGTTGTGAACAGAGTGTTTTGTTTTTTTTTCGTTCAGTTAACGCATCAGTGAACGTAACATATCAAATGCACCATTCAACTGCTGTTCTTGAGTCACGTGACGCGTACACTCTCTCCTGTGAGAATACCGCTGCTCGGTGCAACAACGGTTTATTTGTCAAGAGCTGCAAGCAACATGCTTGCTATCAGGGCTACCAACAATAAAAACATATGGCAATGAGCCCATGTTGTTCCTGCGATCCTGTTAGAGAACATCTGCTGCAAACAAACCAGTGGCAATATAAAGCAAAGTTTTTGAGCTTCTTATCCTGCCTGGTGGTATTGTCATATCAGCGTTAGTCAGGCGTACCGAGATATACTCTCTCTTTGCCCGTAAACCATTCGCTCAGACTGAACGAGTTTGAAGATTGTAAATTTCTTCAGTAGCAGCTTTTTTCCAGTGGACATCGACGACGACCATGTCTCAGCAAGCCGAATCCCACGAGAGCACCATTCATCAAATTACTCTAGATGGACTAGACCTTCTGCAGAAGACCCTCCAAAAGCCTTCGAGTGAGGAACAGCAATTCCTTGACTTAGGATGTGGCATAGGTGATGTCACGCGTGAAGCGCTTCTTCCCCGCTGTCTTCCCGTCGGCAAAATCGTTGCTGCGGACGTCTCCAAGGACAAGATTGAGACCGCCAAGAAGCACTTCGCCCATCCTAAGATCTGCTACGACGTTCTCGATGTCCTAGCGGATGACGTGTCCGCCTTCGTGAAGAAGTACGGTCAGTTTGATCGAGTCTACGCCATCTTCCTCTTTAACTGGGTGAAAGACCAGGAGAAAGGATTTAAGAACATCTTCGAATTGTTGAAGCCCGGTGGAGAGTGTCTCTGCATGTTTTACGCTTCCAGTTTCCATCTTCAGTTTCGAAAGAAGTTGGCCAATACGGAACGTTGGAAGAACTATGCGGAGGTGAGTTTTGTTGGTCAGTTAAAAACGAATGCGAAGATAGATCAAGCTGTTAGGAATAAGATAAAAAAGGAACACGCTGAAAACTTAAAAGTTACAGCGATCGTTCCATGTTAATAAAAAGGAGTTTTTTTTGTGTGTGTGTGTTTTTAGTAAAGCTTGAGCTGCCACGCGCATGTACCTAAGACGACAACTGACGGGGATCTTTTTGTAATGGATGAAGAAAGAATAAAACAATTAAAACAGGGACGACACAACCACATCTTTCAACTAGCAACAGACGAGTTACTAGTTGAAAGATGTGGTTGTGTCGATCCTGTTTTAATTGTTTTATTCTTTCTTCATCCATGACTTAAACCAACACGCTCTTCTCCTAAGCATCTTTTTGTAAACCGACATTTCGGTATAGTAACTGTAATTTCAGACCGCAGCGGCCGATGTCTGCGTTTGGTCGCAATTGCTGCAATAAAATTATATATTTTTTCTACGTGCACCCAAGGTTATAACAGCACGTTTTAAGACAAACAAATCAGAGAAATATTCTTTCGTTCTTAATTTGCAGATTTGTGAAAGTACTACTCCTGGCACCATAGACCTGGTTGGAAACGAAGCCCGGATTTCCTACATGAGACGCCTCTTGAAAAGCGCCAACTTGACACCGACCTTCTGCGATGTCATAACGGAAATATCAACGCGTTACGGCACTAAAGAGGACCTTACACGTAAGCGCATTTTTTGCGTTCATCTCGAAACAAAAGGAATCTTTATCATAGCGTTGACGTGACACCATTAGCTTGGCCACCACGTAAGAACTAGGTGGGCAACGTACGGCGAAGGAAACCTTTGACCGAACCACCCCTCGATATAGCGCGCTACCAGAGGGAGAGAAAGAACAAATTGAGACAAAAATCAATTATTCTTTTACACTCAGGGATAATATTCAGAGGCAACGCGTCTCAAGCTGTACCAGTAAACGCCTTACTTGTTCCCGAACTGCCAGGGAAGGGGTTTTCCGGGTACAGGAAATGAGGAGGCAGCCATATATCCCAATCTCTAACCCTATAAAGCTTCAGTCACATTGCCCATACATTATACAAAAGACGCGGAGTTTCTCCGTAGACATGGTGGGAGCATTATCTGCTTACACGCCTCAAGCAAGTTCGAATCATGTGTGCTTGATTGATACACATGTTTCTAACATGTCTGTAGACAGTTTTCGTGTGATCAATGTAAGAGGACAAGGAAAGAAACCTTTTGCAGACAGTGTCTGAAGACAGTCTTTTGTATGATGTCTTAACTGTGTGATCGGGGCTTAAGCTTTTACTAAAATAAGCGCTAATCTTGTTTCGACCGTGAACTGTCCAAATGCGTATCTAAAATGCTCTTTCTTTTTCTGTGTGTGGGGATTTGATTTTCAGGAGAACTGATGGAGATCAACCCGCTCACAGCCAAAATAAGCAAGGAAGAAATGCCGTTTCTTCGAGAGGAGGTGATGAAGGAAGCGGACAGACTGTGGGCCGAAAAAGAAGCCGGTGGATCTCCACTTGACTACCCCGTGTACATTGTTCGCGCCTCCAAGGTTCTTTCGTGAGATGAACTATAAGATATGACCGACAGCTGGATGCTGCGAGAACGTCTTTTTAAGCTTGGATGAAGCAGCGAACTACCGAATGGATGTACGCTCTTTTTGGGGATTTGATAGCAAGCCGGCTGGGTCGACATAATCGCCATCCGGCTAAGTGACGTTGGCCTTTCGCTTTTCTTTAAGGTGGCGGTAAACGATTAAGACAAAAACGAATTTTCAAATAAATGTTTTTGGTTTTTAGCAATGATCCCAGTCTCCTGCCCGATTCCTCCCCGGTCTTTCAGAACATCTTTGAAACATACAGTGCTGCAGAATCTGGGAACGAAGGTTCTCCGAGTCTTCTGCGCGAGAGCTTTAGCTCCGCGTCCAGCTGAGCCGCGAAGCATTAAAAAGTCATCGTGCCTGACGGGCCATAGGGCGTGGCGAGCTTCGAGCATCTCATTACCCTGCCGCAGCCAATGATATTGCTGTGTTAGCCGATCAGAACGCCAGTGAACCAATCACGAAGCAAGAGGAGTGAACATAACAGGCCACGCCCGGCGTTTCTTACGTCGTCACTGACAACAGTGACCACTTTGAAAGAAGAAGTGGAGGGCGAATCGTCATCGTTTTTTTTTTTTGTTTCTTTTCGCTTCGGTTCTCAATCTAGTATTATACGTAGTCTGGTGAAAACAAATGTGCTCAATCAGGGTGTACTCGAGGCAGAACTTAAGTTCGCCATTACCTGCAGAACCGCGTTTCTCTGCCCGAGTAAACGAACTATGGAAAGCTCGAGCTCCTTCAGAATGTGACGCTAGTGGATGGATCAATTGGGCAGTGATGCTTTCGCATTCACAACTTAGGGGTCCTCGGATTTTTTTACGTGCTGCTTAGTAGCGGCGTGCGAATAGTGACTCGAATTGAATAGCGGGACGTCATTATTCGCTTCTGCACTGCAGAAAGAACCGGCCGTCTTTGCTTCCCCTTGCATTGTCAAAGCTATGAATAATGCGGCACTATTCGATTCGGACCACTATTCGCAAAACCCTAGTGTTTAGGGATTCATCGCTGGGCAGCTGGTGGAAAGACACGCCAGAAGTCTTCCCCGATGTTGACCTTGAAATTTCGGACACAAGACACCATTGGGCCACGAGAAACAGATCCCTTTGAGCAGCAGGGTTAGCAGGGTGGAACAGCGAAACTAGTAGGGCCTAGTAGGGCCAACCGCATGCAGAAAGATGCACATGCTTTCTCTCGTGACGGAAAAGGCCGTATAAAAAGGAAGCGGGCGAATCCAGTCCGGCCGTGCTACGAGCTAATTTGACCAATCAAGCAATGCCAAAAGCGATAGTCCATAATCCTTTTCTCTGTGTGTGATTGGTTCATCAATGACAGAACACGTAAAGAAACTCAACGAACACCTTGATGGTGCAATTGTGACGCTGCTGATCGGTCATATGAGCTCGTAGTGTCGGCTACGTCTGGACTTCAACGAAGTATCGAGAGCGTATAAATTTAAAAGTGGGAACAACTGAAATCATAGAGAGCGTTTGAAATTAAATGGCGGACTTCTCCAGCGTAGAGATTGGTCGCAGGTAGGCATGGGTTGCTTTGTTGCGTTACCAGGAAGAAGGAACCGAGGCAACATGCTCTAATATTCTACAGTAGGCATTGCTTGATTCGGGAGACACCACGGGAGTTCTTAAATTCGTTGTAAAATATTATTGCTTTACAAAGATCTGAAAACTTGTGCGTATATAAAACTAGAGATTCAACTCCAATTAAAAGTTAAATATAAGATGAAGTGTGTTCGTTAAGAAAGAGGGGAAAAAAGGTGCGACCTTGTTTATGAAACTGTGAAAATACTAGTAGGATGTGAAGTATGCCGAGAACTTGGGAACAGTGGTCGCAAAATGTCTGTCCATTTATCTTTATAGGTAGCCGTTCTCGATGCCTGGCGCTACGCCACTCGCTCAAAATCGGTTTAAAAAAAATTAAGCTCATTAGGGGGGGATCAGAGTCCTATTCCACCTGCCATGAAGATCTTATCTGGCTTTGTAAAGTTGCTCTGTAATCGCTGACCGACACGCTGCTGAAGTCGATTACCCTATTTAGTATTTATGCAGGTACGGCTCGGTCAGCATCTTCACTGCCACATGTTTCAACTTGGCTAGGAAGCAAGCAGAACTAACTTACTTTGCTCACTTTGCTTTACTTATTTTACTTTACTTACTTACTTAACTTACTTACTTTGCCTCACTTACTTACTTTACTCGCTCCATTCACTCACTCACTCCATTCACTCACTCCACACACTCACTCAACCACTCACTCACTCACTCACTCAGTTACTTACTTACTTATACCCACACAGTCATAGGCGACAACACAGCAGGTATGTCTCCCTCCAAATCAAGAAATAAAAGGTAAAATCAATAAAAGCAATAAGAGCAATCACATGCCGCGTACACACAAAAAAAAGACATCAAAAGAAAACAAATAAACTCCGCGCAAACCAGTGAACACACCAGCCATTATCAAAGGTGATACCGTCGCAAATTAAAAAGCGTCGGACAAAATTAGGCACCTGGAACAACTGCAGCACAATTTGGTCATCAAATATCCACACAGCCATAAACAACAACGCAACCGGCATGTTTAAAAAAAAACGCAAACCATAAATAACATTAACTGAGGAGCGTGTTGCTAACATTGACTGGCAACAGAAAAAATAAAACAAACTCAGGAAAATATTACGAAGACCGGGTATCTGGTAGTCGAGTTTCTGTTTTCCATAGTTAGTCCTGATTCGAGCCATCTGCCATGCGCTAGTTAAATAAATAAATAAATAATAAGTTTTATTTCTCATCAATGATGAAGGGGAGGCCGGAGAAAAAAGCTGCAAAGGAACAGCTTGACGAGTCTCCGGCCCCCTACCTGGTCTGTTTTTAGCATGTTATGTAAGATGAAATGTGTTGGTCGCAATCAAAGTCCTGCAGCTTTCCAGAGTAATTAGCTTAAATATGTAGAACCCTATTTTGCAGTACTGAGTTTATTTTTGTGTAGGAATAGCGCTAGTTTAGAATAATAAACCTGGTCTCGTTTTAGCATGTTATGTAATGTGAAATGTTTCGCGAAATCAAAGTCCTGCAGGTGTCCAGAGTAATTAGCATACCTACGTAGAACCCTTTTTTGCAGTACTGAAAGCTAATTATAGTTTCCAATGGTCGCACTACCCCATACCAGAATGCCATACGAAAGATAAGAATAAAACAGTGAGTGATAAAGGAACTTTTTTCAGCCACAGCGGTATTAAAATTGTTATTTTGTACATACGCCTAAGAGACCTTGATAGGTGTGTCTTGATATGCCTAACATGTGTATTCCATGTTAGTTCTTCGTTAAATCAAACCCCAACAAATTGTTTTTTATATTACTTGTTCCAAGACTACATTGCTAAATTTAATAATGACGGCGTCGTTATCACGTGTATTGATAGGCCAAAATATGACATATTTGGTTTTAGACTCGTTTAGTTGCAGTTTATTTTTATATTAGCTAATGAGACCAATTCACCAAGTATCTGTTATGTCTTCGAGATGATGTTTAGTCTTTCCAGTGAAGAAAACGTTCGTGTCATCTGCATACATGACAATGTTCGGTGAACCCGAAATATTGACTAATGAACCCATAATGGATCCCTGCGGGACACCATATTTGATTGACAACCTGTTTGAGGACACGTCTTCAACTTTAACATATTGATATCGATTTTCAGGCTCATTCTTCAGTAACCGTAAAGCAATACCCCGCGGGACACTATATTTGATTAGAAACTTGTTTGACGACACATCTTCAACTTTAACATTTTGATATCGATTTTCAAGATAATTTCTTAGTAACCCTAAAGCAATTCCGCGTATACCATCGTGCTCAAACTTTCTTAACAAAATATCATGATGTACAGTATTAAACGCTTTTTAAGGTCTAAAAATAGGCCTAGCGTGTATAACCTATTTTCTCTATTTTCTATAATCTTATATTTTATTTGAAGAAGAGCCTAATCGGTAGACTTCTCCCCCTGAAAGCCAAACTGTACCGCAGTTATTGTATTATGTTTAAGAAAGAAATGTTCAAGTCTATGTACGATGGCGCGCTCAAATAGTTTCAATCATAATAGGTAAAACTGAAATAGGCTTATAGTTTTGGAGGACTGCATCATCCCCGCCTTTGTGAATTTGAGTCACTCCGGCAACTTTTAGTTGGTCAGGACATATCCCAGTTATGAACATCTGATTAATTAAATAGGAGACAATTGGACTTAACGTTCACGATACATGCTTAATAGGAAGAGCTTTTATATGAACAAAACCGGCAGCAGCGCAATTTTTTTAGGTTTGAGATCATTGCATCTACTTCGTTCGGTGTTGTTGTAAAGAACATAACAACATAATAGAAGTTAAAGATTTTGTTGTGCAATGTGTTGGACTGGCTTCCGTCGTGTTTGGTAATTCGGCACATACACCCATAGTTGTGAAGTACTCATTCATTGTTTCCACAAGCTCTTGGCCAGTGAACCTTACGTCACCTTTCAGCGCAATGAGGGAGGGAAGTTAGTAGGAAAAGATGACAAATGTTATGTATTTCTGGTTGATTATGTGTTTTACAGCCATGATCAACCCGATTAGCTCAGCTGTAAACACGGATGCGTTTGTATCGATTCGCCTTACAGGCAGGCTGAACCACAGCAGCACAACCTGCGTAACCGCTTCCTTCCGTTCCATCCGTGAAAAAAAAAATTGTATAGCTTTCAAAAACACTTGATAGCTCCATGAATTCCTATTTTATAATGCCGACGCAGCATATGTTTTGCTATATTTTGGTGAAGTCAGGTTGCAAGCTATTTCTGCATCCTCCAAAGGAGCACTTTTGTGATGATTGTTGCTATATAATTCGCCAATGCCTTGAAGCAATCTTCTAATGTTCGGTCACTCAATGACTGCGCACTTTTACGAGACTACGTGTCA